GGGATAAGGATTTCTGAACATTTCTTTTTTTTTTTTTAAAAAAAAAAATCTTTTTGCTGTGAGTGGGAAGGGAGAGGAAAAAAAAATTGGAGCAGAATTTGAAAATAAGGAGAAGATTGCCTAGTATTTTAAAGAGTTATTAAACATCAATAAGACTTCTAAAAGATATATTTTAAATGAAACTTTGTGACTAAACATTAACCCCAGAAAGAGAAAGTGAAGAAGGAGAAAGTATTTAAAAGAAACAGCTTATTTGGATTGCTTGGTGATTTTGGAGCTTCTGAACTATCTTTGATTAAAAGCACTTGGGTGGTTGTTTGGAAAAACCTTTTCTCTCTATAATGGCATCACTTGTGGATGGATTGAAACTTGAATACCAAAAATATAAAAAGGAAGAGCAAGAAGGGAAGGATTCTCTTGGCACTCTTTTTCAATTTTTAGAAATGGCGGTTTGTACTTATGAAAAGCTGACTGCGCAACAGGATGACTGGGATAAAGAAGAAGCCATTTTTGATGAACAAGTGACTTTAGTTGGGGAAGAAAAGGAGAAAAAGGATTTGGAAAAACAACCAAAAAAGAGAAGAATAAGGTGAAAAGTGGATACTATGTTAGAAAACAACAGAAAGGAGGAAAGCAGAACAAAAGGGAGGTGGAGAGACACGGGGGTAAAGAGGGCAAGGAGAAGAATAAGCAAGGGAGAACGAGAAGCCTCAATGATGGGGAGCAAGATGCAAAGAAACAAAAGTCTTTTAGAGATAATGGGTAAACTTTATTGAAAAAGGGATTCTGGAAAGGTACATAAGATTGTATTTTTATATTTGTACTTAGAAATAATCTTAGAAAATTGGAAATAATAAGTAATTTAAAATCTGATAAAATGTTTAGTAAATAAATGGGAGAATTGTACTAGAAGGGGGAACATTTTAACGAAACAATGATATAAAATATGTGATGTGTGTGTGTGTGTGTGGGGGGGAAATAACTATGGAAAGCATGAGTGTTCCCATAAAGGCATGATATTTAATTGAAATGGGTAAAATGTTTAAGAATATTAATATTAATGATTAGATGGTGTTATCCCAGTGAAATTTTTTGTGAAATGAGAGATTTGAAGTAGGAGAAGGGGGAACATTCTAATGAAATAATGATTTAAAATATGTGATGTGGGGGGGAAATAACTATGGAAAATTGGTGTTCCCATAAAAGTATGATATTCAATTGAAAAGTAATGTGTTAAGTGTTTAAGATATAAATGAATATTAATATTAATGAATAGATTTGTATTGGCATTGTAATATTGTATAATTTTAGAATGTACCAAACAGAATCCCAATGTAAGTTATGTATTTTATATTAAGTATTATAAATGTGGGGGAAAGAGACAAAGGCGTCATACTCCAATTAGTGTACAGAAGTTTTGTTTAAAGAAGAAAGATAAATGGATAAAACAGAACAGACAAAGAATAATAAATATTATGATTTGAATTGAGATGAGATAAATAAAATAAAACTAAGAAAATTTAAAAGAGATGAGAAGCTATATAGAAAATTGAAAATGGTAATAAGATATGGAATGGTATACAAAATGAATATGAATTTGAATTTGTGTCTGTACGAAGAGTTGTAACCCGGGACTAAGCAACTTTCAGAAAAGATGTTTTTTATGTTTTGTGTTTTTGTGTGTTTATGTTTGATTGAGCTAATAAAACCTTGGAGGAATGTTAGAAGAGGACAATTGAGAATAAAATATAGAAGAGAATAAAGCAAGTCAGAAGGAAAAATCGGTATAGTGAATAAAAACGTATAAAATAGATAAATATAGAAAAGAAATATAATTGAATAAAAGTAAAGGGAGAAATAATGAGAAACTTGAAAAGATATGTATGTGTTTATAAGGAGATGTGCCAATGGTGTATAAAATGTTTTATTTGTTTTGTTAAAATTTACAAATAACTTTCAGAAAAAAGGTTTTATGTTCTTTTTTTTTTTTAAACAAATTTTATTGATTTTAAAGACAAACAAACCATCGTTAACCATTAAATACATAAAACCTCTCCATTATTAATTTTACAAGTCAAATAAAATATTATTTTATACAACATAATTCTATTTTTCACTATTTCAATATAACCATATAGATATCTCTTAACAAATTTCTCATTATTTCTCTTTTCGTATTCAATTTCATTAATTATTATTAATTTTCTATATTTATCCAGTTTATAATCATCTTCATTCCTCTCTGTCTTGTTTAACATTATTCTCATCCAACAATCCTCCGAGGTTTTATTAATTCTCAAAGAAAACATAGACACACAAAACACAAAAATATAAAACTTCTTTTAAGAAAGTAGTTTGGCCCCAGATTACCTCTCTTTGTATGGACTTCAATTAAATTCGTGCTCATCTTATATACCATTACCTATCTTATTTACCATTCTATATCTTCTATATAACTTCTCCCCGCTTAAGAGGTTTTATGTTCTTATGTTTCATGTTTTGTATGTCTTTAAAAATTAATAAAATTTGTTCCAAAAAAAAAAAAAAAAGAAGAAGGGGCATAATTGTAAGGAAAAAGGTTGTTTGGAATTCATAAAAGATATAAGTCAGGGCCCAATTTGTACTAACAAAATGTAAGATCCAAAAATGCACTTGAGTCACCAGAATGTCAAAGAGGAGGCTTGAAAAAAATAACTTTTATTTGTACAAAGAAAGAGCTGGGTGGACTTATTCCATGGCATACAGACAAGCATGCAAGGAGGCCACACCCAAGAAGAATGTGATCCCAACATATTATACCCACATGTAGCCAATCAGAGACAAAAGTTTGTTACCCAATGTTGGCAATGCCTTGCCCGTACCCCCCCTTATCCATGGGGCATTCTTTCTCCATGCCCTGCCCATGCTTTTGTTGTCTTACAGAGTAATCCTTTTAGTCTTGTGTGTTTGTGATCCTGGGCGGCTTCCTGCTCTGACCCCATTGTCTATGGAGGGGGATGTTCCTGGGTAATTATTTTGTTCTATCTTTCTTATTTGCTCTCCAAGGATGTGCCTAGCTTTGAAGTGAATAACAGAGGCGAGAAAGCAGATAGCAAAGGTTATAATTCTTGCTAAGCAAGGGTTACAGAATTAATTCCTAATAAATAATTCTTAACAGTAGCAAAATAGCAAAAGCAATTCTTAAAGAGAAGCAATTGGCAAAGGTTAGATTGATTCCTGTCAATATGTCCCTTCATCCCTCCGTTTTCTTTTAGGACAGGATGCTTTCTGAAAATGCTGGACTAGGGGGATATATTTCTTGGGGATAGTCTTGAGGACCATATTTTTTTCCGGTTTATCAGGAGGGTTAGCAGACACAGATGAGATATGACTCATCCCAGTGATGGTAAATGTTAAACAACTTGCTGGATCAAAGGGATGAAATGGGATGAAACGGGAGAAGGCCTCCAAAGATTAACAACACTAGAAACCCAATCCTTTTCCAGTCAGAGAATAAACTGCCAAACCTATTGAAGTCAACTGCCCCAGTCCAAGTCTGAACTGGGACATCAGGTGGGTGACTTACCACACTTTGGCATTTATCTACTCTATAGCTTTTCTTTGATCATCAATTTTGCAAACAACAATTCATGAGATTAAATTTTACACATACATCTTCTGTTGCTAAAAAAAAAGTCTAAAGCAAGTCTATTTTAAACTGAGTATGCTGTTTAACTATTAAATTTAAAGCAATAGTGGTTTCATTAGTTATTATTTCAAGCACAGCTTGTAACCTTATATGTCTATTCAACATATAAATGGGAGTTCAATAACAACACATTCCATCTTCTGCCTAGATGGCTGGTCTATATATCTGATATTATGCCCTATATATTATGCTTTCAGGAGGCCACTCATTGTCCTTCCATTATCAACTCTCTCTTAGATCTGTGGCCTATTTCCTCATAAACGGATACACTCAGTCTTGTTGTATGGGCTATAGGAAAAAAAATAGGTGTCACAGTTCCTAACAAACATGCTCTGTACCATTGGCTAGGCATTTGCACATAGGCAAACTTTCCACATATCCAATATAAGCCATCTAGAGCATGTCAGTTAAGAATTTCAGTACCCACGTCCATCCATAACCCACTCAGTCTAGAGATATTTTCAAATGGGTTTCTAGGAAGTGTCAAATTAATTCCAGGCCACCAGATGGTATTGGCCTTATTTTCTTCTGATCTGTTATTACGAAGGAACGTGCCAATAGTAATATGGGTTTTCAGCTCGTAAAGTCTAATGGAAACCATGAGGTCTTATTAATTAGCAGTTTGTGAACACACTTAGAATTTGCAATCTAAAAGATCAATAAATAAATAGATTGAACAGAAAAGGCATTTCAGTCTTCCTGTGTTTTACGTGAAAGCAATTTGTTATTCTTTTTAATTTGTTACAGAAAGTAATTAGAAATAATTTTAGAATATGGAATTCAGAAGTGGTCTCTTGGGAATATTGTCAGCATTTCAGGATACAAAACTCATGTCTAACCTTATTAATAACCTTGTATATATATGCTATAAAGTTCCTAAAATTCTGGACCTAGCAAAACATCATACAGTGGCTGAATAAGTTTATACCATACATCAGATTTTTATACTCACTTAGATATATTACTTCAATACTGTATCATTATACTGCTCACCATTTAATTTACAGTAAATGAAATAACATGAAAATATTCACCTACAAATGATTTTTTATGCTTACAATCCTTAAAGTCATATAAATTATAGGAATGCTAATTGGTCTTTCTTTAATTTACTTCATTTTTAAATTCAAAATAAGACGTTATTTGTATATTACATGACAATGGAATAACTATTTTTATATGATTAGGATTCATTCCCTGTTTCAATGGAAAACGGATACAAGCAGAAAATAAGAGAAATAGGTTCAAATATTTCCCTCTTTTGTCAACTATCCAATTAATGAACCCAAAACAAGGAAACACACTCGGGAGAATTGAATTCCCAAAAGTAAAACTTTATTGGATACACGATGTTGCTACTGAAGAAACTAACCAAATGTGGTTTCCTGAGCAAATGCTTGCCCAATTAAACAATACTTTCTTCTTTTCCCCACTCTTGCTTGATCACACTGTCCAATTATGAGATGGTCTTTTGTTATGAGAATGATCCATCTCTTCCTCACGTAGCTGTAGTGGTGACCTTACTGGCTCCATGCTCTCACAATCTCTGCATACATTCTCCACATTCCATTTCCCTCCACTCAATTCATTGGCAAGTTGAAAAGCATTAAGTTTGAAAGAAGCAAAGCAATTCACTATTGACAGGCGGATCTCCTGAAGGAAAAGGGCACCTAGGAAAAATTAAACACAGATTCAATATTGTTGCTTAGGTGGTCTTAGCCTTCATTAATCTCCTTGGTCACTTGGGGTATTTTGCACGGAACCTTTATACTAACTTGTCTGCACTAACGTTTTGGGCACTTACCCATTCCACATTGGCTTTGGGATATCCTTTCCATTGCAATAAATATTATACAGGTAGTCCTTGACTCATTTAACTGTGGCAAGAAAATTTGTGAAATGGGGAAAACTCATTTAACAAATGTTTCACCTAGCAACATAAATTTTGGGCTCAACTGTGGTTGTAACACAAGGACTACCTGTAATTTCCTCATAAAGTATCTTGAGTCCAGGAACCTCTTTATCTCATAGTGTTTCCCTCCCCCACTATCACAGGAGGTGGTGGCTTGTCCTCGACTGGCCTTAACTTGAAAGGGCTTCAATAAGCTACAGCGGAACACTGGGTAGACTCGCCCGAATACCTTAGGCAACTGTAATTCTATAATAACTGGGTTTATGATTCAACAATTGGGAACGGACCTATGTACTTGGAACCCAGTTTCTTACAAGGTTGGTTCAGCTTTAAGTATTTCGTAGACAGGTAAACGCTCTCCCCAATTCTGAATTTCTTCTAACAGGCTCTCTTCCGATCTGCCTGTCTCTTTTGCAACTGCCTAGCCTTATTCAGGGCTTTCTGCATGTTTCCCCAAGCAGCTTTCAAGATCTCCATCCATTCATCTATTGTTACTGAGGGAAGAGGTTCCCTCGGAAATTCCAGCAGTGGTACAAATTCAACCCTTGTAATTACTTTAAAAGGGGTAAATCCAGTACTGCTATGCACCAAGTTATTATAAGCCACTTCTGTGAAATGTAGTTCTGCTCAGTTTGTTTGCTGATAGTTTATATAGCAACATCAAGGATGGAACCCAAAACTAAGTCCCTGAGCTGACTCTATTTGCTTTAGGAACTCCTGCCAAAATTTAGAGATTATACAGATTAATTGAGTTGGAAGGGACCTTGTAGGTCATCTAGTCCAGCCCCCTGCCCAAGTAGACCCTACACCATTTTTGACAGATGGCAGTCCAGTCTCTTCTTGAAAGCTTCCAGTGATGAAGCTCCCACAACTTCTGAAGGCAAGCTGTTCCATTGATCGATTGTTCTGTCAGAAAATTTCTCCTTATTTCCAGATTAAATCTCTCTTTCTTCAGTTTCCATCCATTATTCCTTGTCTGGCCTTCAGGTGCTTTGGAAAATAGCTTGATCCCCTTCTCTGTGTGGCAGCCCTTCAAATGTTGGGACATTGCTATCATGTCTCCCTTGATTCTTCTCTTTACTATGCCATGTCCTGCAACCATTCATTGTATGTTTTAGCCTCCAGTTCCCTAATCATCTTGGTTGCTCTTCTCTGCACTCTTTCTAGAGTCTCTTTGTTGTAAACTGCACCCCCGGTGTGAAATGACGCGCCTTGGGACTTCATGCAGCCAGTAGATGTTCTGCATGAACATTTTGGCCAACCACTGGGTTTAGGGAAATTTCGGGCATGCTATGAAGTGCGCTTGCCCATAATCCAGATTATGGTGCTCCCATTGCTCTCTGGCAGTTCCACTATGAAATCCATGGCAATTTCCTCCCATGATCTTCTAGGGTTAGCCACTGGCTGTAACAACCCAAGGGTCTTCCTTGGCAATCGTTTCAAAGACACACACATTGGGCAGCTGGTTACATAGTTCTCTATATCCTTCTTCATTTTGGTCCACCAGTTGTCTTTTAGCCAGGTGAAGGGTTTTTACAAATCCAAAGTGTCCAGCTGGCTTTAAGTCATGGCTCCTTTGTAGGATATAGATTCTCTGGCTGGCTGAAACATACAGCATGTTTCCCTTCCACATCAGGTCCTCTTTCATTGTCAGGTCAGCTTTGTGATCTCTGAGCCATTCATCTTGCTTCAGGGCTTCTTTTAGCTGTTAGAGCAGCATGCCATCAGCTGGCTAAGGAGTGGCTAGCCACCTCCACCTCAGAGACCTGTGCTGCCAGTTTCCTGGAGAGAATGATGGAGTTAACTATTTCCTCTCGGGTGCTTTTGTATTGGGGCATCTGAGAGAGTGCTTCGGTGAGGAAATTCTTTCCCCGACAAATATTGAAGGGTTAAATTGAACTGATTAAAGTGCTGCACACATCTCACTTGCTTAGGAGACAGCTTCCTTGGGGTTCTTAAGGCTTCCAGGTTCTTGTGGTCACTCCACACTTACTGCCTTCCAGGAATTGCTTCCAAATCAGCAGCGCCCATCGAACAGCATACAGTCAGCTTCTGTGAAATGTAGACGCAGGGTTGCATTGTCCCCTTTGCATTTTTTTGGAGCAAATGGTACTCACTGCCACATCTCTGCCATCAGCTTGTATTACAAACGGCCCCTCCAGATTCAGGTGCTGCAAAAAGGCTTTTAAGCTTTTCAAAAGCTGCTTACCATTGCATAGTCCAAGAGAGCAGCTGACTTGCTTTAGGCTTCAGTCCCCTTCTGCCTGCTTTTAATAGTTTGGTGATAGGCAGGACTATCTGTGTAAATGAGGGAATGAATTTGCAGTAGAAGTTGGCAAAGCTCTGCAATTGCTTTCTTATGAGAGGAGCTTCCCCCTCCAGAATAGCCTTCAACCTTTCCAGAGTCCATCTCCACCCCCTCACTGGAAACATGATATCCCAAATAGTCTAAACTGGTTTTGTGGAAGTTGTTAACATTGAGCTTAGCTTTCAATAGTTTTCTTAGCATCTCCCGCACTAGTTTCACATGGTCTTCCATTGTCTCAGAATAAATGAGGATATAGTCCAGGTACACCAACACCGCCCTATATGGGTGCTCATGAAACACTTTGTTGGTTATCCACATGAACACTATGGGTGCTCCCTGAAGCCCAAAAGGCATCACTTGGAATTGGAAATATCCTAAGGGACAATTGAAAGCAATTTCCCACTCATTGCCTTCTTTAATTTTTACTTGGTAATACGCTTCGCTCAAGTACAGCTTGGTGAACACCTTCTCCTTGGCCAGGTATCCCAGTATGTCCATGAGGGGAAAAGGATACGTTTTCCACACAAACACCATTGATCCCCCCCCCAAATCCATGCATGTTAAGGTATTAAGAATTAAGAACTGACCAGCAGTAAATAGCTGCCAGATGTAGGCTGATGTAACAAGAGTGATTCAACATAGTATGAGTATTTACCTTTAAGACTGGAGACTAAAGATCCCCTTAAAATATGTGTATGTGAATGGCAGCCATTAGAGGGTGAGGTTCTCTTTCCTTGTGACCAGTGCAGAAGTTCTCCGTGTGTTAAGAAGAAAAGTTTGCTTGTAAAGGTATTTTGCCTACCACGTGTATTGTCTGTATTTAACTGTTGTATATTAAACTACTGTTAGTGTCTACGTCTCTGTGTGCTGTGTTTTGCTCCTGGATTATCTCATAAAGATAGTCACACTGCAAATGCTCTGACAGGTTATGGGGCCAGTATAGAGAGGAGGCCAGAGTGACTAGAAAGCCTAGAGAGAAGAGAAACCCAGTGTGAGTTTGCACCAGAGTAAGTGGTTTAAAACATGGTTAGTGTCTTGTGAAAGAAAGCAGGCAGCATGGCCTCCATCAGCATAATGGGGAGAGGTTTCTCGGTGTCTCGGATGAATGAGACAAACTACCTCTCCTGGAATGTGAAGATGGAGATGTATCTACAGAGGAAGTTGTGGACTATTGTTGTTGATCCTGGATGATGGGCATCAGGGGAAAAATGAAAAGGCTTTAGCCAGCATAATTTTGGCTTTGGAGGACAGTCAGCTGATACATGTGAGGGGTCTCCAATCTGCAAGAGTGCTGGGAGGCGTTGCGCAGTGTGTACATGAGAAAAATTGCGGCCAGTAAGGTGTTGCTAAGAGATTGCATAAAGCACAGCTGAAGCGGGGGAGTGTATGTCCATACATCTGCAGAATATGAGGACATTCCTTGAGTTGGAAGAAAGAGGAATGACATTTACTGAGGCACACAAGGTGTATGTTGTGTTCAGTTCCTTGGACAATTCATGGGATGTTCTTGTGACAAGTCTGGAGTCGATGCAAGAACAGGATTTAACCATGGTGTATTTAACTGGTTGGTTGTTAGAGGAAGAGCAGAAACGGCTGGAGAGACCAGGAAAGAGAGGAGAGAGCATTCAGCACAGACCAGCATCTGCAAAGGTCCAGGATGGCGGCAGAGCAACTGAGACAGTGAACTTTGTGAAGAAATGCTACATTGAACATCTCCAGAGACGCTACCCTGAGGAGGAACAAAGGAGCAGTGAGACAAGGGAGCAGGATTAAGCAACACATGTGGACCGATTCTCCAGCATCTTTTTCCCTGGCAGCATCAACGACTGAACACACTAGGAATAGGTAGTTGTTGGACAGTGGGGCGAATCAGCATATTTCTAATAATCCACAAGTGTTTTCTGGTTTGAAACCAGGAAAGCAAATGTGGGTTAGCCTGGCTGATGGTCAAAGAGCTGCTGTAAAAGGGGAAGGTAATAGTTATGTACCTGAAATAGGTGATACATTGTATAACGTCTTATACGTACCTGCATTAGAACATAATCTGTTGAGTATATCCAAATTAGATAGGCAGGGCTATGAAATATTATTTGCAGGGGGACAGTACACCATTAGGAAAAATGGTCAGATATGTGCACGAGTGTTAAGGATAGCCTGTATGTTCTAGGAAGGCAAGAAAATAGTTGTGCACATGTACTTAAGAATGTTCCCATACATGATAATGATGTACATTTGTTACATTGAAGATTGGGGCATGCAAGTTTTGATGTACTTAGGAAAATGCCAGGCCTAGCTGAGGGGCTTAAGTTAAAGACGTGTAATGCATATTTAGACTGTGCTGTGTGTAGAGTCAAAATCCAGGGTTTATCCTGTAAGTAAGAAAAGTGAAAGACAGAGTATTGCAATTAGTTCATGCTGATTTGGTTGGCCCCATGACACCCTCTTTAGGAGGAGCTGGATATGCCTTAGTCATAGTAGATGACTACAGTAGATATGGGTTTTGTTATCTGTTGAAAAACAAAACTGAAGTATTGCAACAATTCAGGCAATGGGTAACAATGGTAGAGAGACAGTATGGGTATAAGGTATGCCAGCTACAGACAGGGGATCACAGTTTATGTCTGAGAAGTTTCAAAGGTGGTTAAGCAGTCTAGGAATAAGGCATAGATGAACAAATCTTTATTCTCCTGCAGAAAACGGAGTGGCTGAACGAAGAAATGGTGTAATGGACTATGAAGGATGCATTGCTTGCTGATGCAGGCATGAGTAAAGCATACTGCGGGGAAGCCACAAGGACAGCAAATTATACCATTAATAGGTTATGGAGTGTAGCAATACAGGAAACGCCATATTACATGTTACATGTAAGGAAACACTCATGTTCATTTAAGGACATTTGGCAGTCCAAAGGTGCCAAAAGAAAAAGTTAGAAAAAGGCCAGGAAGCTAAGATTTGTTGGGTATGAGCCGGGAACAAAAGGGTACAGGTTTACAGATGGTACCAAACAAGTAGTGATTTCAAGATCTGCTAGTTTTGCAGAGCAGAATAATTGGAACAGGGTACATGCAAATCATGAGGTGTTCATGCTAATGCATAGACCTAGTTTACCAGAAGGTGAGACAGGGAAGGAGAGACATGAAACTGGGTCAGATATAGAGAAGAGGATAGACCTGTGATAAAAGTGAAAGTACAGAAGAGGAGAAAGACACACATGAACATATAATACCATGGAGATCTGAGTGGAGTAATAAAGGAATACCTCCTGAAAGGTTCACAGCAAGTGAGATCTGAGCGGAGTAATAAAGGAATACCTCCTGAAAGGTTCACAGCAAGTGAGGTTAGAGAATACAGTACCAGGTATGAATCCCAACAGGTCTAGGTCCACTGTGATCGCCAGCTGGTACCATGTCTGGAATTCCTTGGGGCAGGCAGTTTTGGTATAACTCTCAGAAGTGATAGGCCACAGTAAGCATTCCAGCCATGCTCTCAGCTTCCCAGCCAGGTTGCAGAAATACTGAATGTTGATTTGCCAGGCTAGTGGCCGGTTCCCCTGCCTTATGGCATGGATCCTGGATTTTGCCAGGCAGATTCAGAGTCTCCAAACCTGGCTTGAAGTTCCCCAGCTCGGGTGTTCCTTCATTGTGGAGGTACATCACCCACTCTGCCACCTCATCCTCGAGGCTCAAAGTTCACGCAGGCAGCTTCATCTATGTACATCGCCCCATACCGCTCCAAATGATTCCATGCCTGGCTCAGGAAGTAGGCTAGTTTCTCTAACTGCCAATCAAACACAATTTTTAGAGGCAGGTGCTCCTGTTCATCCCAAGCTAGTACGTAGCCTGGTGGCAGCCCTCCCCGTGAGGGGCTAGCTTGAGCCTAAGCTCCTACTGTTGCAGGGATTCTCTGGGCATGCCCTGCAGCCACAGGGGAAATGACAGCCCCTACTGGGGTAGCCCCAGCTCCTTGAACAATATTCCCCAGTCTCACTCTTTGGAGAGGAGAGGAGGCTACCAACACTTGGCCCATCCCAAGCCTCGCTCCCAGGACTAACGAATTCATTGACGCTTTCCCCACATCTCCACTGACAAATCTCTCATGCAGTTGCTCTACAGATGGGCTATGGCCGTGATGGTGAACCTATGGCATGCATTTATTGATTTATCTAGTTTTGAGGCTACTCTACTCAAAAATGCGAGTAGTTTCAGATAAAAAAAAAAGAAAATCATGACTCACTTGAAGAATAATACAACCTGCTACAAACCAAACCTAAATAAAGGAGGCTTCACGAGAACTCTGGGAGATCAGCTTTCAGTAATTCCCTGAACATCATAATGGTGAAAGCTGCATATGCTTAAACTAACAGTAACAGGAATTTCATTAAGATTTTTGCTAATCAGTGTCCGTAGATTTGGGGAGAGTATTTTCAACTTCCACAATTGCATAACATTTATTGGTTTCATATGTGCAAAATATTTCTGAATAAAGTAGCACAATTGGAAATTTGGATTTAAGAAAAGAACTTTGCATTAAAACACAATGTTCAGAATTTATTAACTTTGAACAGTGGGTTACATGGGTGATTAATAAATTTTCTATATTTTATGAATTTTCTGGGGAAAAACAGCAACAGAAAATGCAATTACCTCTTATTTAACGTGGTATCCATATTTTAAATAATCATCTTTTATGTTCTCTAAAATATTTCATAGGTGATGCAGTACATCATAGAAAATATATGATTAAAAAGTACCTTTAGATTGGCAATATTGAAATATGGCTGCATAGGTGACATTTGGAGGAAATACAGGAATTTAATTTCATTGTATGACAGTTATAAAATCACAGACATCAGCCTAATTAAATCTTTGCAGCAAAATTAACACTTATCAAATATGACCCATTACTCATTGAATACAGGATTTAAACTGTCAAAGTAGTAGAAAAATTAATATGTAGGATACAAATTAATAATTAGTAAATATATTAATACAAGTCAGTAAAGAAAATACATCTTAATTTTTTTTCAGTTTGCACGAGAATATTTAAAATATTTTAGGTAGTCATTTTATTCATTTTAGGTTTCTGATTGTCTGTAAGATTAACCAAACGAGATATTGATACTCTGTTTGTTGCTTGTCAGATTTTGCAGTTTTATATAAAAATAAAAGATGAATTTGCTAATACAAAAAGCTATATTAAAGGATCTTCCAGTAAGCAACATTTTCTTCAATTGGATAAATGCATATTTAATTCTATGTAGAAAAAGAATGTTAAATATAAATCCAACAAAGACAGATCAATTAAATTTCATTAGATCCAAATGACTCATAAATATCTAGTACCAGTATTTGTCTTATATTGGACATATGTCTTCAGAAGAAAGCATTATTGTAGATATAATTTGGAACACTAAATAGAAGAAACCCTCTTTCATCAAATGCAGTACAAAACATAACTGCACAAGCCAAAAATATTAACTTACAACTCCCCTTTCCTGACTGTTCCTGTTCGATCAGTGCCATAGACATGTGTATGGATATCCCACTCTCTCACAGCAGCACTTTTCAAGCTTGGCAACTTTAAAATGTGTGGACTTAACTTACTGCACCTGTGTCTGGTTTGCCAATTGCACAGTGGCCAGAGGGTTAACGTCATTGCCCAGAGGAGCATTGGTTGCCTTCTCCTCTCTTTGGAAGAGCTTTATAGCTCCCACTGCCTTAAGAAAGTTCAAAACATCCTCAAAAGATCCATCTCATCCTGGGAACCCTTTTTTTTCAACTATTACCATCTGGCAGACTGTACAGAATAATAAAAGCAAGAACAAATAGGCTGAAAAATAGCTTCTATCCCAGGGCAGTGACTCTATTGAATTCTACTGTATAGTGCATTATTAATGCAATATCAGGGGTTTTAAATTCAATGTATAGAATGTGAAGGATATGTGTTCGTGTTTATTTTCATAGTTATAATGTACACTGAAGATTATATTAAATTTCGTTGTACGAGGTGCAATGACAATAAACTAAGCCTTCAAGTCCCACATCTTAAAGTTGCCAGGTGAAAGATCTCATTATATATTCAAAATTGCGACAGCGATTCCCCCAGAGGCTACGTTTCTTTTTCTTCCATATTGAATGTTTCAGAAAAAGAGAAAGACTAAAAATAGGATTACAAACACCGTCATCCACACCCCATTACACCAGTCTCACTGAACTATTTTGAACTGAAATTATAGGCGGGATTACTCTCGCCTATAATTTCATTCTCGCGATACTTTTTCAGTGCAATTGTGCCCTATTGAAAGTGAGAAATACAAGAGTCAACAGTCGCAGTGACTTTCGAGTTTCTTCTCAGTAATTTAAGAATATATTTTACAGCGCTGCTCACGAACTGTGAATACACGAAGAAATATAGAGCAAAGCAATTTAAGCTACATCACCATTAAAAAGGAAAGCTAGTTTTTGCTTGCTTCTTCCCCTGCTGAGTTCGTACTTTGATAGATGGTGTGACTTCCTACAACTGTGAAAAAGATTGTGCTGATTGGGTTGCTGTTTGCCATGAGGTTTTTAAATGCACAGGAACCTACATTTCAGCTTTCCAGTAAGGATCTTATGCTTTTAAAAGTATGAGTCATACTTTAAAGAAATATATTTTTCCTGTGACTCAGAATGCTGGATATTCAAGATAAATGTCTAGAATAATGTCTAAAGAATTCTTTTGTGTTCATTTAACTTGCAAAACATGTTTCTATTTGATGCTGCAGGCTTACTCGCCTATCTATCCAAATTGCGCTTACCATTATTTAAGACGCACTCATATAAAAGGGACTTTTGCCAGAAAGAAAAGAGGGAGAATTTCGGCAGAAGACTGGCTTCTTTTCTCGACCACCATTCGCTCAAAGCAGGGACGAACCCTTCGTCTAGCACCGTTGAGTTCTGCCACTCCTTCCCCACACACCGGCAACCATTGGCCACGCTATTAGAAATGACGACTGTGCGGAGTTCTTGGAGATTTTCATTTAAGTCTCTGAAAAGGAGGCGGAGACATCCAGCTAGGTTCCTCCTCCTGGGCCTCAGCTGGGCTGAGGCTCAATTCCTCTGCCTCGCGCGGCCCGGACCGGGCGGGGCCAGGCTGGATCCCAGAAACGCTTCCCGACCGTGCCCAGCGGTCTGGTCCACCCCTTCCCTCCGCCCCCGCCACCAGCACCCGGAGACGCCCCCTCGCCGTACGCAGACGGGAAGAGGGGGGCCCGTCCCGCCCCCACAAAGCCGGGGGGGGGGGCTTGGCCGCCTCAGGTGCCCCCGGTGAAGGGGGCCGACTGGGTGGGAATCGTGAGATGATTGTTCTGGAAGCGTTCCCCCCACCAGCGGTGAGAGGGCGAAAGGCCCAGGGAGAGCTCGGTGTGGGTCTGTCCGCCTGTGCAGCGCGCGCGCGCACGTAACGAACGGGTTGTTGGTAAAGCCTGACAAGCGGAGGCGAAGGAAGGGAAGGGGGTTGTTCTGGCTGGCTTGGCGCCTGTTAAGTGGGAGGTGTCCAGGAGAGGTCAAAGCAGTGGGCTTGGGAGTGGGGGGGGGTGTTGTGGTAAGAGTGAGGGCGGGGTTATATTGTGAAGGGGGAAGTTGCACACCCCATGCACAAAAGGGTACACACGCAAGAAAAGGTAGCTGTAGCACAAAAGTAACTACCCTGCATTAAAACCTTGCATGAAGATTTTAAAAGTAGCAGGTGACTTGAAAGCAAATAGAATAAACGAAAGGAAATGATCAACTTCTACTAGTTTTATAAACGATTCAAATGCTGGTATTTCTAGAGAGGCACTGGTTGTATAAGAAGGATCAGCTTTAACCAAGCCAGATGATTGGTAGAGAATTACTCCTCAAGGCCTCTAATTAAGAGTCAGTATTAAGAGCCATATGATTTAAAAAGCTTGCCACCATCCTCACTTTAGATGGTTTTCTTGGATTGGATCTGTTGGAATCTAGTTCTCAATCAATTTCAGTATTTTAGTTGTCTAGAAAGTCAAAACTTTAAGAATGGTTTGAGAACTGTGTACTTCTTGCCATACCTATACACATTTCCAAACTTGGTCTTTTTTGGAGTTTGTGATTGGGTTGTTTGGGGCACACATATTTATGATTTGTATAATAGAGATGTGATAATGCCACTACTAAAGCCTTGAAACTGTTGTATTTGCAAGTTTAATTGTTGCTGCTTCCTTTGGAATGTACTCTCAGCACAGTCATTGCAGTATGCTGCTGCTGCTGCTGCTGCTGCTGCTGCTTTGATTTGGCAGCTTTGAAAATAGAGATCTCAAGTGAAAGCAAGCTTTGCTGAATATATTTTTGCTGAATTCTAAATAATTTTGATTATTTTATTCCTTTATTGTTTGCTAGAACATTCCAATTCATAATTAGACTGAAAACTATGTTTTTTGTAATGCCTTTATATTTGTGGTATTCTAGATCCTATTCCTAATTATGTATTCTGTTATAATTAAAACAGCAAGGTAACCTTACTGTATGAGGAACTGAGTGTATAGAGAATCAGTTCTACCATAGAGGACAGTCTATATAGTTTTTGGGGTCTTTTTTTCATATTAAGCTTTGCAATATTTAGATATGTAAACATTGTATGTATGTATGTATGTATGTATGTATGTATGTATGTATGTATGTGTATATATACACACACACACACACACACTATATATGGCAAAAGTAGAAATTAAAAATGTAATGCTAATTTCTTACTGTAGTAATGCAGTACTTTTTATATAAAATATTTAAATAGGAAAACAAGCAGTATTTTCAGTGTTTTCTTAATTGACTAGTTCTTGTCTTGAAAAATACTTTTTTATTTTCTTCTTTCCTTAAATGATATTTTATAGAACAAAGCTGGAAGACAAATAAAAATCCTGTGTTATGGTATTATCATAAGATTAAAATGTGCGTATTTGACATTTGAGAATTAGTTTGGTATATCAGATAAACAGTACTAGTTATACAGGAAAACACGAGTTGCTTTAGGCATGAAGCTTGGTGAGTTGGGGACATTTCAGTTTGGGATTTCAGTTTGGGATTTTTCAGCTCCAATAAAAGACAACTGAACCACTTCCAAAATATTACCAAGAAAACTGCATGGATTTAAGCAAACGCTAGCTGGAATGATAACTATTTATTATGTATTAATGTATTAATTGACAGAGTAATGTTATTTCTTCACCAGATGTAATGATATGGAACAAAAGGCAGGTTTAAAAAAGAACTTTCAGTAAATACTATATGGATATTATGTAAATTTAATAGATTTATCAATAGCTATTAATATCAAGTCGTGGACCCATTATGTTCAGAAATAGTATACCTCCAGAATTCAGATGCTTGGACAAAAGGAGTAACTGTTATCAACTCCAAGTGTTTCTGTAATAACTTGGAGCTCTTGGTTGATTGTGACAATAGTGCTAGGTTTTACAGTTAGATCCAACATTGGCATTGGTACTGCAGTTAGTCCTCAACTTATAACTGCAATTGAGGCCAGAATTTCTGTTGCTAAGTGAGACATTTGTTAAGTGAATTTTGCCCCATTTTATGACCATTCTTGCCACATTTGTTAAGTGAATCACTGCAGTTGTTAGTATCACACTTGTTAGGTGAATCTGGCTTCCCCATTGACTTTGTCAGAAAGATGCAAAAGATGATCACATGATCCTGGGATACCGGCAAGTATGAGTCAGTTGCCAAGCCCCTGAATTTTGAACCTGTGACCATGGGGATACTGCAACAGTTATAAGCATGAAAAGTGGTCATAGGTCATTTTTGTCAGTGCTGTTATAACTTTGAATGGTCACTAAATGAACTGTTGTAAGTCAAGGACTATGTGTAGTTAATGTTTAGCTGTTGCTGTAGATTAAACACAGATAACAGATAATCAGAGTTGGAAGCGACCTTGTAGGTCATCTAGTCCAACCCCCCACCCAAGCGGGAGACCCTACACCATTTCTGACAGATGGCAGTCCAATCTCTTCTTGAAAGTCTCATGTGATGGCACTCCAACAACTTCTGAGGGCAAGGTGTTCCATTGGTTGATTGATCTCACTGTCAGAAAATTTTTCCTTATTTCCAGGTTAAATCTCTCCTTGTTCAGTTTCCATCCATTAATTCCTTGTCTGGCCTACAAGCGCTTTAGAAAATAGCTTGACCCCTTCCTCTCTGTGGCAGCCCCTCAAATATTGGAAGACTGCTATCATGTCTCCCCTGGTCCTTCTCTTTACTAGACAAGCCAAGCCCAGTTCCTGTAACCGTTCTTATGTTTTAGTCTCCAGTCACTTAATCATCCTGGTTGCTCTTCTCTGTACTTTTTCTAGTGTCTGAACATCTTTTTTGTAATGTGGTGAAGAAAACTGGATGCAGTACTCTAGGTGTGGTTTTACTAAGGCTTTTAGAGTGTTATTAGTATCTCCCTTGTTCTCGATTATATCCCTCTGTTAATACAATTTAGGATTGCATTAGTTTTTTTCTTTTATGTTTTATGTTATGTTTTTATGTTATGTTTTATGTTTTTACATAAAGACATACACATACAACCACACCAATACACTTGCAAAACAAGTTAGGTATAGGGAATAACTTTATTTTAGCTTTATAAACATACTCTAATGGTTGATTCTGTAGTGCCAAATTAATGAGCCATTAAATTTATTTGCTAGCACAGTTAAGATATTGCTTAGAGAATTATTACTGGTGATCACTGTACTGGAAATATATTTTTTTAAAAAAATTATTAATTTTTCTTATATACAACATCATTTCCATTCATTACAACGCCTTCGTGACAGTATACATACTTTTACGTAAATCTTAACTATCTATGCACTTATCTATATTGCTTTATCTATCTTTATCCACTATAACTTTTACCTTATCTTATTGTTGTCTTCTCTGTTCAAGTCTATTATTTAGCCAATCATACAGTACATTTCACGTCAAATAATAATCCGTTTCCTCTCTTTATCTCCATGGTCAACTTATCCATCTCGGCACACTCTAGTATTTTTCTTATCACATTCCTCTGGTGGCATACTATCATTTTTCCAATTCTGTTATTTTTGCTGCCGTTAATAAATGTAGCATTAGATACTCTGTTTTCTTTTATTTTCCCGTTATTATGGCTAATAGAAAAGTCTCCGGTCTTAATTCAATTTGCTGTTTATTTCTTCTATCCATTTTTTTGTCCTTATCCAATATTTTCTCACTACAGGGCATGTCCACCACACATGGTAAAATGTTCCTTGCTTTTGTTTGCATTTCCAACACTCAGATGATCAGTTTGGGAACATTTTTGCTAATCTAGCAGGTGGTAGGTGCCACCTGTAGAACATTTTGTACAAATTTTCTCTATATGATACCGACGTCATCAATTTATAATTTCCCCCCACATTTTTTCCCATTTCTCCAATTCTATTGTGTAACCAAAATTTTTCACCCAAACTATCATTGTTTCTTTAACCCTCTTCTCTTCCATCTTATATTCCAACAAATAATTATGTCAACTTGTAAAATATTTCTCTGGTCTTTTAGAGTTGCCAACAGAAAGGGAGGGGGGAGTAGTGTAGCAGCTTGCAAAACCGAAACTGCATTCCATGGATGTTTTCATAGGTAATTTCCAGCAACCGAAGTTTCTGCTGCGCAAAATTCTAACTGGAGAGTATGATTGATGACTCTTGGCTATGGATGTGTCCCATTGGAGAATATGAATTATGATACATCTAGGGGGTGAGGGAAAACCAGAGTCAAGGGTGACAATGAATGATCAGAGTCAGCTACACCCAGGCAGCACCGGCATGTCTACTCCTAATAAATCTTCTTTGAGCTTTGAAAGTTCTGCTAGAGATTCATTTAAATGAGGATAACTACCGGAACCCTGACAAATTATATAATTTTAAAATCAATTTTTCCTCTGGACCTTGTAGAATCTTATCTAATTGTGCTAGTTCTCTATGTATCCCATGTCTTTCTGTATTTTTCTTGAATCTTGCTTATATTTGCATATACATCTATCACTCTACCTCGATTCCTTGCTCTTTTAATTCTTGTTTCATTTTTAATATCCCTTGCTCATTTAAGATGTCCTTATACCTTATTATCTTATCAAGATTTAACATATTTGGATATGTTGATGCTTCCATGGTTGATAACCAGATCGGAATTTTGTCATAATGATTTCTTTTAATCTTTTCCCAAATTAATAACAATGCATTTCTTATTTGGTGTCTTTAGAAATAACTATGCGTCTTGTTTTTCCCATCCATAAAAATGTGTGCCACCCTAATTGTAAGTTGTTTCCTTCAATTGTCAATATTTTGTTTTTCAA